TGTGCTTTAGAAACCTTGTTTATTCATATAGAGTTTAGGTATTAACAAAGAGTAAACTTTGACTTCTAATTTGAATTTTTTTCAAAACCATTTATAAAAGTATTGTCTATTTCTACAAATTAAAGATACTTCGGCCAGTAAATCTTTTTTATTGGCTCGACGTTTCGACAAAAGTTTTTTGTTCTCGTCAGGAGCGAACAAAAATCAAAACATTTGGCAAAGCGTTAAAAAATAATTCTATCTTCAGGATAAGTATTGTCTATTTCAAATATATTGAGGCTTGATTTAGAAACCGCCCTGTAAAATGGGTAATTTATATAAGTAAACTTTTATTTATTTATTTATTATAACTAAAACACTAAATAATGATCCTTCTCCATTAGATTCAGACAATACAGTTTTGTCTTTTCAATTTTAAAATAGTATTATAGTAATTATGAAAATTGATAAATAGGGTGTAGTCCCTAAATTAAAAACCTACATCGAACAAGAGGTACGCGCTGCCTGCGCATGCGCCTGCTGGCGAACTTCTAGGTCCAACCACATATGTATGTTTATTTAATTTAGGGCCTACTCCCTATTTATCAACTTATTAAAAATTGCAGCCGAGAAAAGCATAAACACACTTTGTTTATTTAGGAATATTTTTCGAACAAGAAACACGCGCTGCATATGCATGCGCCTACCAGCCAGTTTACACGCCAGCCAGCAAGCTTCTTACCCGCCTGCCAGTGAGCTGTTTTTCTAATTTCGCTCTCCGGCCAACAATGCAAATATATTCATATGAGTCTATGCGCACTGTGACAGTAATAATATATAAAGGCAAAGTAGAATGCTTGAGGTTTACTACTAAATTAATATATCACCTTAAATGTTTTACCCAGGCCGTTCTATACTAAAAAATGCCATACGATCATTCTTTAACGAAGAAACCTGCTTGGCCTCACCTTATAAAGTTAACCTCTGGTTCGAAACAAATCTGAGGCAATCGCAAGAATAAAAACTTCATTAAATGAACGAAATTTTATATTGAAAAATCCTACATATGGTCCCTCGAGCCATATTTGTTATTTATTTTGATTATTTTGTTTTTAATAATAACAATTAAAAATATTTTTTATAGTAAAATAACAAAACGCATGGAAGCAAAAATCTCAAAACTAAGAAGTTTGTGAAGAGCCGGTTGAAAGGCGTTTTCTTAAGTTAAGCGAATTTGTGAATTATTTTATATATATATATACTAGCGGACCCGCCCGGCTTCGCCCGGGTTTTACCCGAGTAAAAGTTTGTCTAACGAATCTCTCGATAAAGTGAACATTTTTTTCCCGGTCCCTTGAAAAATACTCGATAAGTTGAATAAAATCAATATTAATTGGTTCCCTCGGTAATTGGAAGTTAAAGGAATAGTATCTTGCCTTTGAATTGTATCATTATTCTTGTCTCAAATAAATTGCCGTGTCATCCTGAATTTTGTCTTTCCTAATTTTCTACATTACAAAATCATCGTATCATCATGATAATATTTAGAGCAGATTGTTGAATTATAACAGATAAATTATAATATTTATCTTGATATTTCTAGGCGAAAAGTTATTTCAAAAATTTTATTTGCTAGAAACCTTCCCAGTACTATACTAAATAACTTCCCAAAGTTTCATGGCGATCCAATGAGTGGTTTGGTCAGGCATAAAGGACAAACAAACAAACAAACAAACAAACAAACAGACATACATTCATTTTTATATATATAGATATATATATATATATATTTTAAATAGAGCAATCCATAGATAAATCTTTAATTAAAAAGGCATATATTGGATCAAAAAATTATTTATTTTACCAATATTTCAGCTGGCTGAACGCCAACCTTTATCAAGGTGTTATAACATTTTACGTAAAAATGTTTTAATGCTCAAATCGCATTTTTTCTTTTATATATCTTTCTTTTAATTTATGCAACATCGTTTAAGTTTATTTCAAATACAATCACACGCTTATTTTATATATATGTATTATATTATTTTATATATTGATAGTTCAATGTCTTCAATGTTTTATTTGTGTGATATCATTTTTAAAAAATATTTTCCCATTTTCACTTATATTTTATTTCGAATTTCACAATTTTACATTTAATATTTTTTTTAAATTTTATTTCAACCAACTTTTCAAACATTTTTTACGCTTTGTGTTTTCAGAAAAAATTTTAGTTTAACCTATCTTTTATATATATTTTGTTATTTTTATACGAAAAATATTTTTACACATAGTACAAATAATTTTAAAATATAAAATAGGCGTTATTGTTAATTTTCCAAATATTCACACCCATACTCCACAAAAATTATTTTGTTCATAATATAAATATATTTTTCAAATTTTTCTCCCCATTGAATATAACAAAATATTTTAAAAACTTAATGCTGTTGACGTTATGTGGCGCTGAGTTTGTTGTTGACACACTTTAAAATGTTATAACACCTTGATAAAGGTTGGCGTTCAGCCAGCTGAAATATTGGTAAAATAAATATTTTTTTTGATCCAATATATGCCTTTTTAATTAAATATATATATATATCTAAATTAAAGATACAAAAGGTAAAAACCACCGTTTGATGCCCCGCGCTGGCTGTTGGATGCGCGCGCGACTCGTGACTCTCTCAAGCGCGACGGGCGCGCGGTGGGACAACAATTTCTAGCTTTCTCTACTTTCTTTCCTTCTCTTTTATTACCATTTTATTAGTTCGAATTTAAGATGAGTGACAAGAAAATACTGATGTTGAACCCAGGAACCAGAAATCAATTTCCCGTCTTCAGTACACGAAGCTAGGTAATCCATCCTCCACAGGCAATAAGAACAATATGGAGTTAGGGCAGCTCGTGAAGACGACGGGAACAGGTAGAAAAACCGGAAGCCTCACCAGAAGGCAAACCTTCTCAAAGAAAGGCACGATCAGTAAGATCAAATGGATCCCGTGCTTCAGTAAAGCGGCTTAAGCGAGAAGCAAACCTGGAATCTCAGCAAGCTATATATGAGAAGATGAAGACTCAATATGAAGCAAGAATAAGGGATTGTAGAAGGAAACTGAGACGTGCCAAGAGGGAACTCGAGAATGGAACAAAGCCGGAAGAGCCAGAAGTTTACTCGACGAAAACTGGATCTGGAAGAACGGGTGGAGAACTGGAAGACGAAATTGTCCAAGCAGCGATGATATTTTACTTAGAATTTTACCTCCTTCGGATGTTTCTTCATTTTGGTTCAAGAAATATTTTATTTTGTTGCTTCTTACCTCAAAATACTTACAACAAATGACAAATGAATAATCCAATATTATGTAATAACAAATTCAGGTTTTAAAACAAAATTTGAAAACCATCCCGCATGTGTTTCTGTTGAACGAAAAATCAAAATTTATTTCAAGAAGAAACAACGATTTGTAAGGTTTTTTAGACTGCTACTTGGCACCGCGCGACATTGAAAATGGAGCACCAAGAAATAGAGGCCATAAAATGATGAATATTCCAGGGCATACGCGCCTCACCGAGTTATGCAAATGATGTGAAATGCGCAGCTATCGTGCGCACGTGGAGTAAGCTATAAGGGAAGGAACTTGCAGATATTGCTAATTTTTTTTTCCAACCATCTTTTCCACAATCAGTGCACCGTGGACGCACCAGGTATGCGTCAGCTGATATTTGACGTATGAATCAACCTGCCCTTTTCAGTCTGATCACTTTGCCTCTGGTAAAAGCATCTGTCTGCTGGAACTGCCTTCGTTGACGACGGCCTGGCATTATTGCTTCTATTACTTGTGTCTTTTGAAACAAGCACAAATTCATCGTAGAAAATTTGTTCTTGTTTCAAAAGAAACGTGTATAATAGCATAAAATTCCAGGCGTTCTTCAACGGAGGCAGTTCCAGCAGACAGATGCTTTTACCAGGGGCATGGTGATCGGACTGAAAGGGCAGGTTGGTCCATATGTCAAATCCCAGCTGATGTACACTTGAGTGCGTCCACGGTGCACTGAATTTGTATAATATGGTTGAAAAAAAGTAAATAAGGCAATTTATTGGAATGCCGGTGCAGCCAGATTGACGTCATCTCGGGTGGATCGGTGTATCCTTCGACAACTGCCACTTGTACCTCCATTCTGAAAATGTGAAAAACACCTTAGATCACACATTCCACCTTGATTATTATTACTTTCATCATCATTTTGTGTTTCATTATTTCAATTTATAACGATATTAAGATGTATAAATAATATTTGTTAAAACACCATTCTTTGGGAAAATGAATAGGTACTCTTGCAGAACTCGAAGGAATCTTGATCTAAAAAAATTGTAGCGAATATTATTTAACTAAAAACAGTATTTTATACCTTCAGGTAAAATTTCACTCTGTTAAAATCTAGGCGTTGCCTTGTTCATTAGGATAGTTGTACCTTTTTTAATCAAATGGGGCACGGTTCTATTATTTTAAATGGGACACTTTCAAAAACATAAATCCAAATAAGTGAATTTTCATGGTGATTTAGTTGAATTCAGAAAATGCTAAAAAGTCTAATTTATATAAATCGTTTTCATATAACTTGAATATAAATTAGGATATTGTATGGCATACTTCATCAATTATATATTTGGAGAATGGTTTAAAAATAATTGTATTAAACATTATAATCAAAAAGGCATATCCTGACCACGCTCACACGAGCTTTATTATTAAACACTAGGCGAATGACCCGGCTTCGCCAGAGGAAATCCCTTGGGTGCAATTTCCTTCATACTAAAAGTATATCAATAATAATTATTAGAAGTGCCATAGAATAGCAATACAGAAGTAACACATAAACTACAGGAAAAAAGTGTTGTGTGATGGCAAAAATTGTATTATATTAGTGTTTAGGTATTTGATTTAATTAATATAGTGGATATAGTAGTATATATTTAACTTATATTTTTTATAAATGAGTTTTAAAAATTGTAAAAAAAAAAATGCATCGGCTCGGGAATTGAACCCGGGCCGCCCGCGTTGGCAGGCGAGCATTCTACCACTGAACCACCAATGCTTTAAAAAATGGCCCATATTAGGTATTCATTCCATTCCGGATTAGTCCGCGTAAAAAAGTTCTTCAAATTAAAAAAAGAAAAAGCCAAAAATACTAGTCAAAATGCAGCCGAAAGTTTTCCTCAGGTTTATAAATGCGACATGCAAAATTTGGTACCAATTGGTTCAGTAGTTTTTGAGTTTATCGCGAAACAGACAGACACGACAGAAATTGACTTTTATATATATATATTATATTGTGATAATAATTTTTTGCTTATAATTTTAAATTTGGGAAATAAAAAATGTACTAATGAAAAATATATAGTCTTATTATATATATACTAGACGAATGGCCCGGGCAACGCCGGGTTTTACCCGAGTGCGTATATATTTTAAAAACGTTTTAATTCAAATACTATTCGTTACAATTTAAATTGGCGCCATGGATGTCACTCTTGTGAAACGTCCCGTTCCAAACTGTGTGTTTTTAAAATGTTTTAATTAAAATACTATTCGTTACAATTATAAATTGGCGCCGTGGATGTCTCTCTTGTGAAACGTCCCGCCCCAAACTGTGTGTTGTCTTGAAAATATAAAAATAAAAATGTGAATTTTCATAAAGATTTCATCATGTCGATTTTTTTTTTGCATTTCACCTACTAAATCGATAGAGATAATTACATTTGCAACATGAACTTAGGTATATTGACTAAATAGAAAACTGCATAGTAATAAAGATCATTTTTTTAAAGCACCATATATTTTTTTTTCAATAAAATCGAAACAAAAATTAACGATAAATAACGATAATTGCCTTAAAAGAAATTGCCTTAAAAAAAGAAACATTCGCGGTGATTTTGTCTTGCATTTGTTTAAAAATATTATATACGAATGACCCGGGCAACGCCCGGGTTTTACCCGATTAAATGCTTTTATTCAAATACTATTCGTTACAATTATAAATTGGCGCCGTGGATGTCATTCTTGTATAATATATAAATGAGTTTTAAAATTGTAAAAAAAAAAATGCATCGGCCGGGAATCGAACCCGGGCCGCCCGCGTGGCAGGCGAGCATTCTACCACTGAACCACCGATGGTTATGAAAAATCCCATCCGTGAGCCTTCAGACAGACAAACAGACAGAATAAGGCAAATATATAAGTAGATTAGCCTTTTTAGGTAAAATTGTATTCTTTATTTCGGCTTAGAGCGCTATGTCCCTCTAGGGATACTTGCACTTTAAAGATAAACAAAAATTTGAAAGAAAAGAAAAGAAAGATATTTTAAATATGTACAGAATTAGTATGAAAGTTAATTAGATGAAAAGATAAAAAATATATATCAACATGTAGGATTGTTGCGTGATATGTTGGTGTGGCTTGTGGAAAGGCTGCTGATAAAATTATAATTAAAATTAATTTATTTAAAGCCAGAAATATAAAAATAGAAATGAAGCAACGGTTGAAGTAACGGCCGCCGGAGTTAGCCTAGATGTTTACCGCGTGAGTGCCAGATCAAGTGTCGGAAGCGCCAGTCGCTAGAAAGTTCCGGATGACGCCCGCGCATGCGTAGTGACGTGTTCTCCCGACACGTGCTTGCCGAGGCATAGTGGGGCCGCCATTTTTCTGCCTGTATGTGTTTTGTAGCTTTGTCCTAGTTCGCTGAAGCAAAGTGCGGTCGCCACAAACACAATTGATATATGTACAAAGATTTGGTATGCAAATTTAGTTAAATGAAATCAATTGTAAAGTAGTGTATTCGAGGAAAATTTTACATATTTCGAAGAAAGGTTTAAGGAATATTTTAGAATGAAAATTCTAAACTGGTATATAACAAATTTCCTTCCAGTAGTATTTTAAAAAATCAAGCAAAGCAGACCAAGAGCTCAACTTAGAGGAGTCCTTCTTCACCATAACAATTCAAGCCCAAACATTAGACATTTTAGCCAACTATGGTGTCTAATTAGTCACTCAACCACCATATTCACCAGCAATAACAGCTTGTGACTTTTTGATTTCCAAAATTCAAGTTTTTGTTGAAAGGATAAAATTTATCACTGATGATGAAGCACTGTAAGCCTTTATCAGTTCGGTAAATTCCATCCCTGAAGATGACTGGTGTAAGTGCTTCGATAATTGGTTTTAACGGATGAAACCTTATAGGTGCTAAAAATGAATGTAGATTTTAATGGTATAATTTATATTTTAATTATTGAATATTGATATCAAAAACTTTTGGAGTGACCCTTATATATACACACATTTATTTACAATTACGCTGTTGTATTTCAAGATTATAGAATGAAGAATGAACTAGTTGTTTGTGAACTTAACGATTTGGTTTCCAAAAAAAATCATATTTAAAGTTCGATTCATTTTGTAAATACATTCTAAACTTTCTACAAAATCTGGATCTCTAATGTTTTTCATGCGTTGAATAAAGTAAATAACTTATGTAAATAAACTTTTCTCCTTGTTCGGCGCAAGTATCCCTTACGGGATATAGCGCTTTGGAAATAAAATAATTGTAATTGTATACAAATCGCTCTCTCTTACACACAACATGTTGATAAAATAATAATAATGGTGTTAATATATATATATAATATTATAATTATTAGCTGTGTATATACTAAATGTACTATTCAAATCAAAGATACAATTATTTCATTGGCCTTGTAGAACGAGAGTGGTGTATGCGTGCTCATGTTCTAGTGAAAAACAAAAAGATCCTCGATAAAGAAGGCGAGTTGCCCCTCGAAATATTGGAACAATGCAAAAACAACAACTTATAAATCCAATATAGGCATATTTTCTGAATACTATATCTTATATAAAGAAAAGATATTTTCTGCTTGTATTTTGGATCATGTTGAGGATTATGGAAGTTCAATGCAGTCGTGGTTATAATCATTGCAAAAAATCAGATATTGCTTTATTTGAGCTAAGGAATATATATGAAAAACATAATTTGGTAAAAGTGCCGCCTGGCTTAAGGCGAATAGAACAAGGAAAATAAAAGATTATTTACATAATGTACAAAGATTTGAGCCGGCCATCGGGATAGAGAAAATATCTTTATTTACGGGCTACTAACCAAAAGTTATGATTTTGAGCCCAAAATCGATGTCAGGTGGCAAGGGACCCTAAGATGTGGAAGCAGGAGATGTCTCGCAGGGGTGGTGGAAACGTTGGGCAAGCAGGGGAATAGCGCCAGGGTGCAGTGAGGCGGGTGCGTTGAATAGGCCAGGAATCCAGGAGAAGTGGCAGATGGAAATGGAGGCAGAAGGTCCTTGAAGCCTAGAACTTGAGGGCCCTAGACTTCAGGATGGGGCAGCTTGAGGCTCTCGCCTCGTGCTTGTCAGGAAGGCCCTGGGAGCAGCAGTTGGCACATTTGGAGGTGCGCTGGTCAGCAATGGATGGGCAGGTTCGGCCTTCATGGCCGTCTTCACCGCAGTGGAAGCACTTAGGAGCTCTGGTGCATTGGGCAGAGTTGTGGCCGAAGCCACAACAGCGGAAGCAGACGCGGGCGCGGATGGACTCCTCGAAGTTGAGGATTACTCCATCCACCACGATCCTCCCGCGAACGCCCAGGGCTCTAAAGGTCTTGAGGTCCACCTCGATGAAGGCGGTGCAGGTCCCGTTTCTGGGTGCAGAACGGTGCGCCACGCGCACCACCTTGTCCCCAGGAAGTTTTCTAACAGCAGCGGTTTCCAGGAAGGTCTCCTCAATTGTGGAGTTGGATGTCTCCTCATCCACTTTGAAGAGGCAGATCCGTGGCAGGATCTCCTTCTGCTGGCGGACCTTCATTCCATTCAACTTACTGGCCAGGGAGGTTGTAACCTCAGGGATGGTGTCAGGATTGCTGGAATAGAGGACCAGCTTCCCCTTGGTGCGCAGGGAGGCCCAAACGCCTTGGGGGAGAGTGTGAGCAGCGCGGACTGTTTTCAGCATCTCCCTTGGGTCAGCCTGTGGGTCATCTGAGATGACCACTGTGTGGGCCGCCGATTTTTCTCCATGAAGGATCACTTGGGCGGCCGCAGGCTTGGAGACGTGGGAAGGCACAGGTTTTGAAGGACCATTCAGGTTTGTCCTCTTTGCAGGCGGGTTGGGAGCTTCAGACTGCTTCCTTTTGGTTGGAGCAGGAGCAGGCAGGGTGGAGGCAGGCTTCTTGGCAGGGAGAGCAGCAGGAGCAGGAGTGGCGGGCTTGATTGGGTCAGTCTGGGAGCTGGTTTCATTGCAGGAAGGAGCAGGGCAGGTTTGAGTGCCGCGGCAAGCAGTCTTGGGCTTGTTGGCCTCCTCAATTTCGTCCAACTCTGCGAAGGACTCGAGGGTGTCAGTGAGGTTCTCTACATTGGTAGCGAGGGCCTTGATCATTTCCGTCCGCGAGGCGATGTAGCGGATCAGGTCCTCATGCAGGGATTTCAGGGCAGGATGGCCAATGGAGCTCAGGATGCTGCAGTTGCGTGAGATCACCATCTCATCTTCCCTCTCCAGGTCGGCGACGTTCACGATGCGGGTTGTAGGCTTGTAGGCCTTCTTTTTCTTCTTGGCAGGATTCATGTCGGCGAATGACAGCACTAAGGTAAGCTAAGGCCATCGGGATAAAACAACAACGAGTTTTTATATGCAAAGCGTGACCTCTGGCGGTCGATTTAACAGAATATTTGAATCTATGATATATAATTTTAAATGAAATAATATTTTGATATAACATAATTTTAAATAAAATATTTTAATATAACATATATGTAGTAATCCTGACCAAGCCGGCGTGGAATGTACTGGGCAGTCGTGGTCGTGGGGTGCGTGATGGGATTCCCGCACGGGGACAGCAAGAGACAGAGGCAGGTCTAGATGGTAGATCCAAGAGGTAGAGGTAGACCACGGACGAAGGCAGTCGAACACGGGCGCCGCGGATTCCCTAAGCCTACATCGCGGATAGAGGAAGGGGTGAGAGATCCGACCGACCGTATAACGGCGTCACTCTGAAAACAACTGCCTTGTCTAATTTCTGGG